CCAAGCAACGATCGCGTAATCAATTTCAACGGTACAACGGTGGCTGTGTAAACTTGATTAATTAAAACAGACTCGATTTATGTAAGCAATGAATAAAACGAGATGAGTTTAATCTGCGTGCTAATTATCCCGCTTCGCGCTTATTATCAAGCAAAACATTGCGTACTTTAATCGAAACAAGACAAGCTTTCCGCGAGATTAAAATTAAATTATATTTTCTTCGCTCGACTGATACGCCGTATCGAAACCTCCGATTTCGAATTAGAAAGAGGGAAGAGTGGTGTCGCGAATAAAATCGTAGTATCGACTTCCTCCGATGCAAACGAGCGATCTGAAACGAAGATGAACGTTTTGTCGCTGGTCACCAGTTTGATTCATGATTCCATGTTCCATTTATTTGTCGAAGCTATACGCGCAGGTGCTGGAAAACCTGAAATGTAATTTTAGCCTCGTATACATCGCGTCACAGAGTCTCCCCCTTCCCCATTCTCTCCTCCTCCTCCACCTCCTCCTCCTGCTCCTTCTCCCTCCCCCCGCTCGCTCGATAAAACTCACTTTGCAAACCATTCGTATTCTCCGGTCGCGTTCTCCTCGCGTAAAACGTTTCTAGCGGGCGTGCATCCAACGAGAATCTTCTTTTATTCACCCGGCGATACGTAAATGCGTCGTTTAAGAGTTGCTAACGATCTCTTCGAAACGGTTTCGAGGTTACAATTTTTTTTTTTTAAACGTTGAACGAGATCTTATAACAGATCAAATATATATATATATATAATACTCGCTGAATCGATGAATTTTTTCTTTCAGCTTCCATAGCGAATTTCAATTATCAAATTCATTTCGCGTATTTACAACTTTTCTATCTTTATCTCAGTCTGAAACGAACAGAGGAATAAATTTTAACCAAACGACAAGTTAGACGTACGTCAAAAGGGATTTCTTCCAACTATTTTCCGCGGATGAAAGTTCTGACTTAGCCGGTTGACATTCTTTCCCTGCTCCACACTACTATCCTCGGCAGCTTGTCAGCCGTACACGCGCAATTTTTCTCCCATTCCCGCCGCTAATTTATTGACACTAATCGATCGTAGCTCGGTATTGCGCGAATCGTACGAAGGATGGATAGAGGGATAGGGGGGAGGAGGGGGGGGGGGGCAAGAGAAGGATTGTCGATGTCGCCTTCCCAACCAGGAAGCCGTAAAATTCTTATTGTTGAATTATCACGTGGTTATCTCGCCTCTTCGATCCCGGGATGGTGTCGAGCCACGCACACGCGGGAAAATTCTTTCTCGATCTTGATAACTGTTTCTTCTTCCGAGAAGTCGATGGAATTGCGTGCTTGCTCGATTGGATGCGATCACATTCGGCCGCCCGCGAATCGAGGGATGATCGAACGACGAACTCGAAAATTCTTCGGATATTTGCTCTCTCTTCGATTCGATCCGTCGAACAGATGCGAGTTGCAATCAATTACGATAAAAACGATCGAAACGACGAACGAACGAACAAACGCGTTGTTCGAACGGAAACTTTATCGTCGTCCCTACTTTTTTCCTTTCTTTTCTTTTCTTTCTTTTTTTTTTTTTTTTCGTCATCATCATCATCATCATCATCATTATCGTCGCCCGTCTTTAGTGGTACCGTTCGTGGCTCGTTCTCGTACAGAAAGAATCGTAGTTGAACGTAGTTTCACGGAAACGACGGATGAGTCGGCAGAAGCGGTTTCAAGACGATTCAGGTCGATCGAGGTAAGATTCGATGACTGTCGAAAGTGGCCCAGGTCGTAGCACAGGCAATACAGTTCTTGCCGTTCCCGTTCTTCTGCAAACAGGTTAATTTTCCCTCGGCCGACCATTGAATATTTGTCGCCACTTTTTTCCACCCGGAAATTACACTCGAACAACATCGCGTCCCTCCCGATGGTTCGATAGGCATCCATCTGCCAGATGGCGTTATTCTCGACAATTTATTTCGAACGATCGAACGACCTTTCGCGTCTCGCGACGAATTCCTTCGAGATTTAACTCGCTCACACTTTTATCTCGCAGCGTGATCGACATCAGAGGGGAGATCTCCGAATCGGCGCCCGTACCGATATTGGGGGTCGGTGTGAGGCAAGGCGGAAATCTGGTCACCGGAGAGCTGAACGTTAGCCCAGGCACGCCTTTGCAGATGGAGATCTTCTTGGACAACGGATCCGCGCCTGTTTACGGATTGTTGGTCACCTACATGCTTGTCACGGATACCAAGTCGCAGGAGGAGACTATTATCATCAACGGGTGAGCGTTTATTCTCGTAGAATAATATGTAATATCGTGATTGTATGATGATAATTTTTGATCGAGAACATAGGGAATAATAAGAATTATTGTTTGTGCCGCCAGTTGCTCCGTGGATCCGTATCTGTTCGAGAATTTCAACACTGTGGACGGTGACTTTTTGACGGCGAAATTCCGCGCTTTCAAGTTTCCAGAAAGCACTTACGTCCAGTTCCGTGGCACTGTTAACGTCTGCTTGGACAAGTGCCAAGGGGTATGTTAATGTTGGCGCGTTACACGCGTGGCGTCGTTAAGCGAAGCTTGTTCAAATATTCGTCCGCCGGATATTCGTTAGGCCGACATTTACGCCGTTACGTTGTTTCAGATCGAGTGCAGCAACGGGCAAATTGGATTCGGGAGGAGGAGGAGGGCCATCGATGTCTCGAATACCGACAAGAACAAGCTGTTCGAGGTGACAATGTCCGCTCTTATTAAAGTTGACTTCGAGGAGGACGCGGTGATCGACAAAAGTAGGATTTCCTTCTTCTTCCTTTTCCAAAAATTTTGTTACGAAATCTTGTTTAATCTTGAAATTTTTCCCCCTCGATCTCCAGCTCTGTCCGAATTGTACGTGAGAAGAGGGAAGAACAGGACAAAAGCGAGGGCGGTGATCGCGGAAGAGGTGAGAGATCAAGCTGGTCCAACGACGATTAGGACGGAGGAGAGGGCTTTCATAGCGCAAGAAGTCAAAGAACAGTTCAAGTACAAGGTTACAGAAACGAATGAGATGAACGGTTCCTCCTCCGCCTGCTGCGAGACGACGAAGATCTTGTCCTTTATTCTCCTTCTTCTCTGCCTCTGCAAATTTTTATAAAAAGGTTCATGAAGGGGGACGATCCGTGAACCGACGAACGATCGTTTTTTTTTTTTTCTTTTGATTGTAAATAGAGAGTAGAATCGAGAACCGGCCAGGNTCGAGCGGAATAGTGGAAACCGATGAAGATCGAATTTCTTTGCCGGATGTTAGTATAATTTTTTTCCCTTTCCACGTAGGAAAAGCAAGATTGATCGATGCATCATCCATTTTGTTCGACGTCGGATCGAGTTTTACGATCAAGTTATCGTCTTTCCGATAACATTGTCCGAAATTAAGCTAAGTTTATTATTAATGGACGATATCTCGGATAATGTTAATGGAACGAATTAATAAAGATCGTAGAAAAATGTTATCGTAAAAAAAAAAAAAAAAAAA